CAACAACAACAACAACCACCGAACAAGACCAAACATGTCAAAAAACCGCCGCAGGCTGGGACGCTCCACTGCAGGGAGGCAACGAGGATCGCCTCGAGGCGGAAGCTCAGCTCACGGAGAAGTGGCACTTCGGCGGAAGTTGCGCGCGTCCACGGGATGCCAATTGGAGCTGACAGGAGGGCATACTTCACGCAACTGATATTTGGTTGCTACTTCATTCTCCGTCTGGGCAGTCTTGCTTAACACTCTTCTCCCCCTGGTGGTTGTGGGGGGCATCAGGCTGTAGGCTGTGTGGCGCAAGAGTCTTGCGGCAAGAGTGTGTCCCACTCACTGACCACCTGACTGAGGCGCAAGATCCTGGGAAGCCGACAGGCCCCAGAGTTGACTCGCCAAGAGGTGCGAGGCCTTTTCGTGCTGGGCGACCGCATCCCGTGGCAATACAGGCACCTACCGGGCTGTAGCTACAATTGGAGAATTGAGACGATGCAGCATAATTCTCCCCAGCACACTTACAGAAGTGCTGGAACGACTACTGTCCTTTTCTGCATTTGTCATTTGGATTGGGGTCCAATCTCCTGGCGGCCACCTTGTGGTTGATGTGTGTAATTCTTCTAGGGCTTTCATAGGTTTTTTATATACATGTTTGTACATATTTTGCACTATTTTGTTCCAACGCGTTGTCAGTGCTAGTATGCGAGGCTGGTGCTCTGGGCTGCTTGGCTGGGTGCACAGGATGAGGACAGCCAGCCTCTGGATGAAGGCAGGGGCAGCTTGCTCACCGTAGGGTGCAGAGTGTTGCAGACGGGGCCCCATCACATTTATCTTACTGTACCACCCCTGACCAAGGCCGCTACGGTGCCCGGGAATGTTGCCGAAGGCAAATTGAAAAGGATGTGCCGAGGACTCGGCTCACAGTTTGTGCTCGGATGATAATGCAATGATCACATGGGATTGTGGCAGCTAGTCCATGGCGCTCCTACGGTCCACTCCCATCAAGCGTGACCTTGCAGAATCACGGAGTTTGCTTCCCTTTTTGCAAACATTCCTAAAGCATCCTAAAGCTGTTTGGCCACAGGACCAGGCCGGGCGATTTTGACGAGAAGCAGCGAGCTGCACTGGGGCGTGTCCTGTTGGCCTACTCTGTGCTCCGCCCCAAGGCTGAGCTATGCACAGTGATGCACAGTGTACCCAGACATGTCCGGACTGCCTCCAAGCTACTAGAGATGGCCTCCAACCTAACAACGATGGCCTCAGCCTCCAACCTAATAGCGATGGCCTCGAACCTAGTAGCGATGGCCCCAAACCTAGTAGCGATGGCTTCCAACCTAACAAAGAGCTTGCTATTGTGTTCTCTCCTTGTGCAGTCAATCAAGCGCACTATTGGGTTGCCGTGGCTCGCAGGTGGGCTACTGCCAGGGTGACATGGCGAAAAATATTCTAAAACACGATGTTGCGCCAATGAAGGCATGTCATGCCAAATGGTTGCCAACGCAATATTGACAAAACAAACGCGAGCTGCTAGAAGGCTGCCAGTCAGCCCTTTTTTTGAATGGGTTTCTGAGAGAAAGTGCACTGTGACTGTGGAACATCAAGATGCACAAATTGCAGTAAGTGCTGATGCATTCAAGTGTTCGAAGTGGGTTTCAGATGAGTCTCTGTTGTGCTGGGCTAAAGGCCTCCCAGTCGAGGCCTCAACTTCATTGTAGCGGTGCAGCTGCTGGTGGGTCTGACAGAGAAGCAAGCTCTTTGTGGCCTCTGCCGTTTGACCGACCCTGGAAGCAACTCCCATGAACCCACGTCTTTTCCCCGGCTTTTGGTGGAGTATAGTAAGAGTATGACTGCACAGTATAGCAAGAGTATGCCGCACCTGGTTACTTGCTTTCCGCTTCGGTCGATGCACAATCTCTTCAATCCGCTCTTGCAATTGCACACCTGAGGAAAACTTCTGTGAAGGTCGGGTGTCCCAGTCAACAGCTTGAATCAAAGCATTCACTGTGGGCAATTTCTCCTTGGCAAGTGGGGGCAGAAATTGTCCTCCGCAGTATCAGGATACTATGAGGAGTCGATGCGGGGGCTTTTGCGAGACATCGCCGTGCTAGATGCTCTCCTGTTGCTGGCCACGATTTGGAGCGTCCGTCTTTGGAGGTGTGCGAATGTGAGCTAGAGGTCTAAAGGGTCTTGTGTGTGTGTGTGCGAATCTGAGTTCGAGATGTGGGAATGTGAAGCGCTTCCCCTGTGTTTCCGGCTCCTCGCAGGAGTGGCAGGTGCTTTTTGGTGCATGCGGTGAAATGACAAGCTTTGTGAGGTGTATCTGAGGAGCACAATTTTTCGATAGCGGCAACAGTCCGAGCAGTCATACAACAGATCAATCAGATGGCAGCATTGCTCCAGAGCCGCGAGTCGTGCTTGAGGTTGCTGCTCCTCCCGAAGATCCATGCGCGCTTCGCAGAGGCGCGGTCCTTTTGGCTTGTTGGTGTCCACAGATGTTGACAGGGCGTGCGGCTGCCAAACTAGGAAGTAGCCAGCCTACGCACTTCACTGTCATGAGTCAACCTCTGATCAAAGAGCATTTTTGAACTGCATTTGGCCACTCTGTAATGTGTGTAGATGCATTGCTGGTTCTACTCTACTGGTAGGATGGAATGGTAGGATGCAAGTGGAGTGAACTTCGAACAGCTCTCGAGGTGGACTTGCCACTTCTGTGGATTGCCGCGGAGCCTTTGCTGACGCTTTTCTCCCGGGAGCTCAGGACCATCGACGCTTGGAACTCGGAGGTGTGGGGTGTGAAAGGATCTGTAGGCTTACTGTCACGATAAGTTGGATGGTGCGGCACCTCCTGAGACGAATTCATTACCATCACATACATATATATATATAGTAACTTAATTTTTTTTGTAACTTGTAGCTGTATGTGTTGTAATTACTGCTGAGGAGAGAGGGAGGGAGAGAGAGAGAGAGAGATAGAGATGATAGAGGGAGAGAGAGCAAGTGTCCAGAGAGTGCTGGCACATTGATTTGTGCATGCACGGCCTTAAAGGCCGTTGGCTTTCCGTGACTCTTGTGCCAAGGAAAGCGTGTGTAGATTGTGGGATTTTTTCCTCATTGAAGGCAAATGTGCTTTGGCTGGACCATGTGGGTGGTGAGGAGGAAGGGAATGTTACAGAATGTGCTCGCTGCAATTTCATGAGGCAATGGGCTCCTTGTAATGATGACCCAAGATGCCCCGAAGCGATCGTACACAAGCGGTCCATGGCCATGGTTGAAAAAACATACAAATACAAACCATTACAAAACATGTTGTCTAAGGGCACCACTCTAGAGCCCATAAGACAGGTCCAATGGACTCCCAAATTGATGACCTTCGAGCTTTGTGAAGCACACGCTTTGGACTTCCTTCGCCCTACACGTGTTGCTTAGAGCCACCCCCGCAGTGCATGAATCATGAAGCCATCTATATATGCACCATTTACATATAGGAGCAAGGATGCTACTTTACTAGGGGCTCCTGGCCCTACTACTAGGAGCAAGGACGCTAGTAGGGGCTCCTGGCCTTACTACTGTCATAGGTATCAAAGAGCCCCCCTGTCAAGAACCCCCCCCCCTCCCCATGTGTGATTTGGATGTAGAAGGCAATAATTGATAATCACTAATAGTGATTAGCCGGTGTCACCTGAAGATGGCTTTAGGCTTTATTTGTGGAGGGTGAAATGATGATTCTACTGGTGAAATCTAGTACGGCGTCTAATAATGAAAAGGGGACAACTTTTGAGTTGTGCTGCTCAGCTTATCGTTGGGACGACGACTTCTCTCAGTCAGTGACATTGGAAGGGTTCAGACCGACAAAACAATTGATAGTGAATATTGCAGTGCTTCTGTTGAATTTCACGGCTTACAACGTGCAAACACTCAGACTCAAATTATCAACTAATCTATAAATGAAATGCTATTATATTTCTTCACAAGTCAAGTGCTGTCAGTCTGTCAGACTCAGACTGTCAACGAATTATAGCCAACCCTGTCCGCAATGGAGATGATATGATGTCCGGTGGTCAAGCTGAAGATGGATTTTCCAAGAGCTGCTCGGTCAGGTTTGTTTTTCATTGAATTGACATTCACACTGAGACAATCAAACAGCAACGTAACATTGGAGCGCTGCTATTACCTGTAGTCTGGACAGAATGTCAAAATTGGACACTGCCTGCCTTTTGCTGAGATTGGCTGCGGCTGCCGAATGGGACGTTCTTGGGTGTCTACATTTTGCGAGCGCCTGATGTCCAGAACCATTGGTTGTTGCTTGATTTTCTTTCGCTCATCTATCGTACTAAGTTGAAGAAGAAAATGCAGCAGTACACTTCTGAACCTAAGTTCGATTTGGGTGTGCTTCATTTGTTTTTTTTGTATGGATTGGTGTGTGCGTGTGTGAGGAACTTTTGAATTCGATTTAACACTCCTTCTTCAGCCTAGTCTGTTCGCCCACCAGGAACTCGCCCGAAGGTCCTTGTTTTTTTCAGCAGTGGAAATTTGAGGACAACAAAAATGGAAGAGGTGACGAAGGAACTTCGCGCGCTGTGGCCAGGCATCGAACTGCCTGATCAGAAGGTTGCAGTTTGTCGTCTGAACGTGTTGTTTACCGACCTAAAAAGTACAAACAAGTATGCCCGGGTAGAATGCTAGAAGCGTGGGAACAGTAAGTACAGCAAAACAACAAACTCTTATTATTTGTATCAATAGAATAGAAACTTATATAATACAAACTTTTGGAATAATTAACATAAATATTGTTATTGATATTTATAAAAATCTTGACCAGTGGGCTGCAACTTTTCCGCACGACCCCTGTTCCGTAGGCATCGTTGCTGACGAAGACCACCAAAGTCTCTTCGTCCTGCTCTGGTGGGTACACAGCAGAGATTGCTTTTGCACTTATCGAGAAAACCGTCAATGATTCACGTGCGCTGGAGTACCCCATCTTTTTCAAGAACAAAACGTGCCATGATTCTTGGCCTACTGTCTAGTCAGACTGAGCCCACCCCGCTGAAGTTACGGTAGTGTTACTATCTATCTATTTTATTATTGTGGCTTGAATGACACTGACAGAATTGACTGAGGAGTGGGACGCTACGTGCCGCCAACTCATCAAAGACCATGTACGCTGGTGCGGAGAGGTCTTGGGAATGTCATAGGACCCCCCGTGCGTCTTTGGAGATGTCGAAGGGTGTTTGCCAAAACACACGTATGACCCAAAGAGCAGCTACATGGAGAAGTACTGTGACGTCACTGCCTCTGATTTTGTTTCCCGCCAGCATTGCTACACCCGCAACAAACTCTGCAAGTTGTTTGGTCCCAATGTTCAGTGCGACTGGGAAACTGCAGGGCTACCCTGTGTTGATTTCTCATTGGCTGGGAAGCGCAGGAAGGAAGAGGGACCAACCTGCACAATCTTTATGAGTCACGCAAAGCGTCATATCGAATTAGGAACTCCCGTGATTCTTCTTGAGAACGTACAGGACGGGTTGGTCTGGGTCAAAAACTGTGCAATTGTTGTAACTGTAGTAGTTGTGTTTAATTCAAACCAGTACAGTGACGATTGATTCATGATCTGATTAGATCCCTCAGAACCTGCGGCTTCAGATGATATTGCATCTCTATGGCAGCCACTATGACATGTACCCGTTCTTTGTCAGTGCATCAGACTCTGGTCACACTGGAACAACCCGTGACCGCATTTATGTCTTTTTGCTCCATCGGAAGAAGGTTGAGATCACCCATGACCCCTACGCAATGTACCGTCTGATCACAAGGACCATCATGAAGCACATCCGCACAGAACCCGCCGACTATCTTGTCTCCTCCACCAGTGACATAGTCATGGAAGCCCAGGAGTTGGCGTCTCTGCGGCGGAAGGCTTTGAAGGCTACTCAGTGGAATCATTCAACGCGCAGGTTTTATGTAATATAACAACTGTTTTTTCCTGGCAAAACACCGTGTTAACAATTTGGGGTGTCTAGTTGAAGCCGAGCGCAATGGGAGCCTGATCTGTCAAATTAAGGCGAAGATGATCCATGATATGGACTTCCGGTCTTTGTTGCTTCCCCGTGAGAAAAAGGTCATCAAGGCCCTCGTGAGCAAGTACAAGTTGAGGTACAAGAAAGACCCTTTCAAAGATGACTCTTTGATCATTTACTTAGGGGACAATGCCTGCCGGGCCACATGGTCCGTGGTATCCAAACGGGTACCAACATTTCGCACAGGCCAAGGAAAGTTTTGGCTGCCTGCCAGGAACAGGTGGCTGACTTCAAAGGAGAAGCTAGCGTGTTTAGGATTTCCTGTTGATGCTTCCTCTGCATCAGCTATGGGGGTACCGTCACTGCCAGCGCGCTGCACCAAGCGTGCGTCCAGCCTGGCTGGGAACTCCATGCACCTGCCCAATGTGGCAATCATGCAGTTGCTAGGCCTTTGCTGTTTCAACCTTCGTGTCAATTAAATTAAGTGGATTGAGTCGATTGAGTACCCAAATACAGCAATTTAATTGACTGTCAGGAAGGTGGCTAAATGACTCTTCAAAAATAGAACTTTAGTTAATGATGATGCATCTAAAGGCGGTTTGGTCGCCTCCTTTGCAGCTGCCACTGACAGACAGACATCGTCAACGCCGCCATTGGCACATTTCGTTGCCTCAGCGTACAGACGGTCTCACATGTTGAAAACGGACGAGGATGCAATGTTTGAGTCTGAGTGCAGTGTGCAATCTCCTGTCCTAAAAAAAATGATTGATTCAGAAGATTCGCCCATTCAACTTTTCAAACTGTTTGCTCTCCCGCAAAATTGACTGGGTAACCGTTTAACCGGGTATCATTAGAAGCTCGAGTCAGCCAGCAATTCGGAATTCCTACGCTACTCACGTCATCCTCCTGATGGGCCGTGCGGGAGCGTCGAGGAAGCCAGCGTTGCGAAACTGCGAGATGGGTGAATCTCAATCATCTGATGAAGAACCTCGTCATTTTGCGCCTAGATCTGTCGGAAACTCTGATGATGAGTCTGACAACCAGATGATCGTCCCTATCAAGTGCCATGGAATCAAATTAAATTGAAATCATAATATCCTATGATGTATATGTTTGTTACTTTCTTTCCTAGATTCGATTGTGTTGTTTAATTAGTTTTTATTTGTAAACCAAGCCTGCTGCATAAAAAATCTTCAGTGTGCTTCAGGTGGGGCAACAAGTACGTGGTTGGATTGGGGCAGGAGGATGAGGAGCTGCGCAAGAAGAGTCGCAATGCATCTCGTCCGACTCACACTCCGGCAGCTCCCGCGCCCAAACGGGGAACCAGCAGAGCAGGAGAAGAAGGTGAGTTGTCCTCAAAATCACGCCGAGTCAAGACAGAGTTGTACACGGCAAAGGATATCAGCAATTTGGCTGCTTCTCACCTTACTTAAGTTCTTTATACTGTACTGCTGTATTGTGGGGTTGCTTCTATCAAAGCTGGGTCCCAAACTGACAGTAAATTGAACTGAAGTAACTTTGAATTAAATGTCAGGATCAAATTTGTAATTTTCACTGAAGCGTGTCAACTTGTCTAAGGTTTGTCATCTGGAAGGGTGGTTGATCGAATGCGATGATACTTGGTTGGGTTCATCGGTCGTGAGAAAGCAGCCCAAAGAGCTGATCATGGCGGCCATTGGGTTCAACTTGGGACTGTTGCCAACCTCACCTCCTTTTGAGAATCTTTGGCTGTATCAATCAAGTAAGTAGGTTCAAGTTTTCATTTGAACTCCCTGTTGATTATTGTTGAATATTGCTGATAGCTTGTTGTTCATGCTGCTGCATTGCGTTCAGTCCAGGAAGGTGCCTGATGAATGCAAGCGGGCAGTCAAAGGTGAGTATCGTCGACGTGGCCAGCCGGCTGCACACACGCAATGGAGTTTGCGAGACCAGCATGCTTTCATGGCGTGGCAGCAGTCAGTCATCAAGAAGGGAGCTGAGATTGGGGGCTTTGCGCGGCGTTTGCCAAAAGCCACTGCTGAAGGACCAGCCCCACTTCCTGAAGAAGTTCAAGAGTTTCTCAACGCCCGAAAGCATCGCGGAAAACGGGCTCCGGCTGAGGTTGAGGAGCGCAAGGCGAAG